AATTGAGATCGTGTATAGAACTAATATAAGCTTAAAAGATGAAGATCGGGAAATGTCGGCCGAGAGGAAGAGTTTCCCGTGGAAAACCCATGAAAAGTCGTCCATCGAACGCGTTTCGGTATCAGAAAGACACAGAAGAGTCGGGAAATTATAAGAAGCGACACGGTCAAACGGGGAAAATGGGGGACAATCGGCTTTCCGGCTTATCATTGGGCGGGTCCAGAACAACCGCGGCAACTTTTGGGTGACTCTGACGTATTCGATACCCTCGGGCAGATGGCTATATAGGAACAATATCACTCTGGCTTTTCCTGCTTTCTGCTCTGTGGAATTTGAAAATTGACGTTCTATACATGGAATAATACTACACACACTACCCATCTACATATTCCATACACATACGTCATGTCTTTCGTCGAAACACAGCTCAAGGATGTCGCTATCCTAGGCGCCATCAACAACGATGCTCGCAAGATCCTGACCAAGGAGGCATGTGCCTTCTTGGCGATGCTGCACCGCACCTTCAACCCTACCCGCAAAGCTCTTCTCCAGCGCCGTGTCGAGCGCCAGGCCGAGCTTGACAAGGGAAACCTCCTCGACTTCCTCCCCGAGACTAAGCACATCCGTGAGAATGACGCCTGGAAGGGTGCTCCTCCCGCTCCCGGTCTCGTCGACCGTCGTGTTGAAATTACCGGCCCCACTGACCGCAAGATGGTCGTAAACGCCTTGAACTCCGATGTCTGGACTTACATGGCCGATTTCGAAGATTCCAGCGCCCCCACCTGGGACAACATGGTCAACGGCCAGGTCAACTTGTACGACGCTATCCGTCGCCAGGTAGACTTCAAGCAGGGAGAGAAGGAGTACAAGCTCCGTACTGACCGCACCCTGCCCACTCTGATTGCCCGTGCCCGTGGCTGGCACCTCGAGGAGAAGCACTTCACCGTGAACGGCGAGCCCATCTCCGGCAGTCTGTTCGATTTCGGTCTGTACTTCTTCCACAACGCCAAGGAGCTCGTCGCCCGCGGCGCCGGTCCTTACTTCTACCTCCCCAAGATGGAGTCCCACTTGGAAGCTCGTCTCTGGAACGACGTCTTCAACCTGTCCCAGGACTTCGTCGGTCTGCCCCGCGGAACCATCCGTGGAACTGTCCTCATTGAGACCATCACCGCCGCTTTCGAGATGGACGAGATCATCTACGAGCTCCGCGATCACAGCTCCGGTCTTAACTGCGGCCGCTGGGATTACATCTTCTCCTTCATCAAGAAATTCCGCAACCACCCCAACTTCGTCCTCCCCGACCGCTCTGACGTCACCATGACCGTGCCCTTCATGGACGCCTACGTGAAGCTCCTCATCAAGACCTGCCACCGTCGTGGCGTCCACGCCATGGGTGGCATGGCCGCACAGATCCCCATCAAGAACGACCCCGCCGCCAACGACAAGGCCATGGAGAGCGTCCGCGCCGACAAGCTGCGCGAAGTGCGCGCCGGCCACGACGGCACCTGGGTTGCCCACCCCGCCCTGGCACACATTGCCTCCGACGTGTTCAACACCTACATGCCCACACCCAACCAGCTCTTCATCCGCCGCGAGGAAGTGCACATCACCGCCAACGACCTCCTCAACACCAACGTCCCCGGCAACATCACCGAGGAAGGCATCCGCAAGAACCTGAACATCGGCCTCAGCTACATGGAGGGCTGGCTCCGCGGTGTCGGCTGCGTGCCCATCAACTACCTCATGGAGGACGCCGCCACAGCCGAGGTCTCCCGCAGTCAGCTGTGGCAGTGGACCCGCCACAACGTCCTCACTGCCGAGGGCAAGCGCATGGACAAGGCCTTCGCGCTGCGTCTGCTGCAGGAGCAGGCTGATAGCCTCGCTGCTCAGGGTGCCAAGGGCAACAAGTACCAGCTTGCTGCTCGCTACTTCGCTGGCCAGGTTACCGGTGAGGATTACGCCGATTTCTTGACCAGCTTGCTGTACAATGAGATCTCCTCTGCTGGTAGTGCTGCTAAGCTTTGAATGGGCTTTAATTTTATGATGATGAATACCCTTTGTTTCTTTTTGTCTGGTCTTGACTTTATCGCCAGATTACCATCTGCAGTTAGCATAGTTGTATAAAATTTATTTTATTCCGATTATCCATTTACTAGTGTAGTATTTAGATGGGTTGTTTATGTTTTGCGTATTTCAAGTGTTAAAATAAATTGTAATCGGAATCATACTGACTGATGTATTACCACCCACGTCTTGGATACTCTTTGATCCGCAATATTCTGTCAGAACGAGAAATACACCATTTATCCTTACTAAGTAAGGTGTGCACCTTTTTAGCCTAGTCGTAACATGCCGTGTTTTTTTCCTCCGACATATTGGAAACGCCAAATTCCCCAGGCAACGATAAGGTGTCGGAGCATAGTCATCCTGCTCTGGAAACCCCCACTGCACTAGCTAGTTAACTATAAATTGTGCAAGGGGGCCGATACAGATTATACACCATTGATTGGACCCCCATTATTACACATACGGTTTACTCCGACATAAGGCAATGGACGATCGATGAAGTAGCGAAGATCAAAGAAACTTAATCATCCATTTGGATACTGGACGAAGCAATGGAAAGTTCTCATTCGAAAAAAAAAAAAAGATACAGCCTTAAGTGTCGACGAGAGAACGCTCCTACCATAGTTCATTGCTCATTGGATATCAACAATTTTAAGAACATTATTGCTTCGAAGACACATTGCAAGTTTTCTTTGCATTCATAGTCACAATCAAACACTGCCCTTAGAGGAACTCAATTATTCCTGTATAGAGTAATGCCCCGGAAGTGTATAGCTGCTGACGCAAGATCGACCCGATGATATAGAAGATGGTGGACATGGCACTCTCTGCAAGGTGTAGCGGGTATTTGGCTCTCCAGTTCCCAGCATGCAAGGAGGTTCTGGATTGTTTTCATGAGATGCATCTGAGCACTGCATACTCTGACCGTGTCTTCGATTTCTTCTTTACTATCAAAGGTGTCCTGTCGTGTGGGTTGTTGATCTGGTCACCTTATCCATGACGCGTAGGCAAAGATGGTATTCAATTCTCTTCAAGACAAAGACTCGTGATCTTATAGCATAAGGGAAAGCATCGGAGAATTTTTTTCAGGGAACTCGTTAAGCTACATTTCAACTCCTATAGGTGGTTTCTTTTCTCTCCAGTCCCTTCCCAGTTCCGGAGAAGGATGCCAGCAGTATCAAAGCGCATCATAACTTCAACAGGGACAGTAAAAACCTTTCGTTCACAATCGACCCGAGAAAGACTAGAATCAAAATAGTCTACCATCCTTTCAATCTCGTAGTGCGTATCAATATCAGACCTAATCTGCCCGATAATTCGGTGCCTAGATTTCATCCTTTTGTTTCTCAAGTCCAGAATAGGGTTCCATTCTCGAAGGAGGTCACAGCCCTCTTTGGTGCATATAAGCTGGGCCGGAGATAGCCTCATCTCATGAACCTTCACATTCGGTTTCCCTTACCACGAGTCCTGGTAGTGATATTCTTCGCGTTCAATTCTGTAGGTCATTGTGCCGGCTGGGGATATGTCTTGTGTAATAATTTTGTACTTGTATTGAGCTCTCAAGTCGTTGAACTCGTTTGGGTTGAGATCTCCTATTCTAAACATGAGTTGACTTGGTTCGGTTATGCTTGCACAGGCCAACAAACCTAGATGGGGGACCCGGTTGTTGGATATAGGAATGGCCTGCGGAGTTCTCGGTTGAATGCATGCAAAGGAGTTCATAATAAACTGAATCGAATCTCTGAAAGAGTGCATACTTGCTTGGTTCCCATGGAGCATAATACACGATCCTTATACATTCTCTGTTATATTAAGATAATTCAAGTCTATGGACGGCGAGAACTCCTACAACGGATTTCTCTCGATTAGGGCGTGCAGCGAAAAAATCAAACCCCCTGCTGCCGGTCTTCGTGTCCCGCCCGTGGTTCAGTCGTTTCGTTAGACTCTAGAAGCTCGGATACGCATTGCCATAATTGAACAAATTCCATTATGTGGCTGGCTGATGCAGTATGAAGGCTTGCCAAGCTTCGTTCTATTCCGTTTTAGTCGAATCTGTCAAGAACCCGACAGATTCGACTGAAATGGAATAGTGCGAGGTGTCCCCGGGCCCGCATGAGCCTAGGCTTTGTACTATTCCATCTCAGTCGAATCTGTTAAGAGCCAGACAGATTCGACTAAAATGGAATAGTAAGAAACCAACAAGCTTCTATGCCCCGCTTCCTACGGACCTGTAGCACTTTTCTGCAGGTTAAATCCTACGTATGTAGGCGTGAGCAATTTTCGACGCATCGCTCGTCCGGATGCTTGTAATACTACTTGAATGCAAAAGCCGTAATGCTTAGGCAGCCTCAACTTTTCTATTTAAATGTGGCCATAGTCGGTCTTTTCATCCATCAACCAAAGAAACAATACCCAGACTTGCCTCTTATTTGAATTATCGTCTCGTGAAGTACTACCCTGGTACGGCTACTGAGCTCCAAGCCTACACCTTTCGTTTTCTGAAGCTAACTAATAGACCTAAAGCAAAATGTGCTGGCAACGTTGGAAGACTCCTGCGAAGTTTCCTGATTGCAAAGGAAAAGCCGAAAACAACTGCATTTTGTTCGAACCCGATCATGACTACATCCAGTGGTGTGAACCGGCCAAAACGCTTGGCAAAATATGCGATGTTTTGATCCCCACTGGCCAAGGTAGTTCGACTAGACGCGGATTCAATTGTCTCAGGCACCGATGATCGTATCAATATTGAGCACACCAAGCTTGGTATCCACAAACCGAGATCCGGAGAGGGCAACATAGGAGTCGGAGGAAAGATATATCAGGTCATGTGATTAGGGGAATGTACCTAAAAGGGAGATCTCCCCCTTGTTTTGTTTTGTAGCCAAATCCAGTCCAAGAATCATTCCTTCTATTCCAACCATCCAACAAAAAAAATGACCTCTCCCTTTTTAGATCTCTCTGGAGATTCCATCCCTCAAGAACAAGTCCTTGGATGTGGATCTTCAGCGGTTGTGGTTTTGCGTGACGGCATCGCCGTCAAAACACCCCTAAGATATATTTGGAGCTCGGATATCGATGTTCAGATGAACCTTGAAGTCATCCAACGTGAACAAAATGTCTATCGTCGGTTTCAAGAATCTAATACCCAATGTGGCGGTATTGTTAACTGCCTTGGTTTCTTAAGAGATGCTACCCAGCTCGCTTATATGGCAAATGGCGATCTTCGCACCTACCTAGCAACCAACAAACCACCCCAACAGCTCCAACTTTCGTGGTTTCGTGATATGACTCGCGCGCTCGAATATATCCACGATCGACGTGTGCTTGTGGCAGATATTGCTAGTCGAAACTTCCTTCTCGATTCAGATCTAACAATCAAATTCTGCGATTTCTCCGAAGCATCTCTTCTACCCTTGGATACCGATATGGATACTGTCGATGATAACGGATACTCAACTCGAATAGATCTTGGCTTTCTCGGGGCAGTTATCTATGAAGTTGTGACTGGCGAGAAATGCGAGATCGATCTCTTTAAAGATAACCTTCCGAGTGATGGCCGCGCTACCTGGCCGCGAAGAGAGTTCCTTCCCAACACCGAAAATGTTTGGCTTGGCTCAATCATTGAAGACTGCTGGGTCGACGGAGGATTTCAAAATGCGCATAGCTTGCTACGAGCACTAGATTCAATCGCTCTACATTCCCCAAGCCCCAAATCTTTATACGATCGACCTTCATTGACAGAATTCATCCAAAACTTGGTCGATGAGCGGTCGATCGTAACGCTGGCAGTCATCCTCGGTGCCTTGGGTACGCTCGCCCTATATGTGAATAGAAAGCAGCTGTCAGTGTCTTGATGATCAATGTGCTTGATGTTCTATATTTTCTTTCTGATCGCTTCTTCGGCTGATCCTATCCCTCTCTCTGGGTTGGGTTTATTGTACGTTATTGCTAGGATTGTTCATGCAAATATTATAATACACTCTTCATTCGAAACCAATCTAGTTTAAACTGTTGGGGCCCTTCCCCTTATGGTTTCTTTTCTCCATTCTTCTGTCAAGCATCAACACCGGTACGCCGAGAGACTATTTCAGTCTATTATACCCAATCCGAGCTTCATCGTCGAAAAATCCCACATATCACTAAAGTCGATGGTAAAAAAGGTGACCGTGATTCAATTGGGTAGCCTATTCATAATGTGGGTGACTTGATAGAGAAAATAGTTATACTAACGTCGTTGACTTGATGTTTTTGATCAAGCAATAGGCCCTCGTATATTGACGACAGGGGGATGCGAAGCGATGTATCAGTTAGGCAATTGGACATCGTAACAAGAATATTGAATATTGCCATGAAAGAGGGTCGTCCGATTGGATTTTGGGCGAAAAGAAGATGGATCAAGGAGGGGTAGGGTAGACACGTTGTGCGTACATGTAGATATATCGCCTGACATGATTAAAATTAGGTCATGTGACTATAACCCTCATTCCCCTCCTACTACCCCTCCCTCGCCAACACCAATCTAGAAATATTCTAGTTTAAATCGACAGGTTGATTATCTCAAGGTAAGTGACAAAAACACTCGATTGATGGCTAGGCTAACCCTTAACCAGGAATCCACATTATGACCCACTATGATCTTCCTCCTCCGGTTGAATCCATCCGCAAAGTCATAAAGGAACTGATACCTGAAACTGCTACGTCACCGAATAAACTAGCCGAAAACCAAAGCGATATTTCACGAAAACAAAAATGGAAACAAAACATATCGGGGAGACTTACTCGCGAAACAAATCTCTCTTCTCACGGAACAACTCCGCGTCACGGAAAAGCTGCAAATCGGTGCTGTATGTCCATTGATTATCATTTACTTTGCAGACAACGGACTTATCAGAATATAGGATTGGCGGTGGCATTTAGTGCATTTTTCGAAAGATACCAAACTTGAGAACGTTCGGAAGGAAGGCTACTTGATCATATTATCCAATACCATCACCATAACGCCTGGAGGAGTACTAAAAGAGGGATCATACATCTATATAATCAATGAGCCCGTCCTAAGTGCAGGGGCAACTGTCATATTCATTGTTCCTCCGCCTCTTGACTAGGACATCGGTATTCCTATTTAGCTTATGTGTACATACACTTTGTTCTTTCCGGGTTCAGACTGTCAATTCTTTATCTCTGTAGATTACTGAGAATTGTATCATCGGAGAAAGCAATCCTCAGGTTGACGAAATAGGCTCAGAGAAAGACGACTCAACACAACTCCGACCTTCGCCAAATAAAGCCGGTATCCACGGCGTAGCAACAGAGGTTGGTTGTACTTCGGGTCTCTGAACCGTTCTCGAAATTGGGGTCATTGCGCTCTCGATTCCAGCCATGGCTCGGTCTTCTTGAAAAGAGAGGTAGTCCATCAGCTGACCATCCTCAAAAAGGTTGTATGAGGTCTCAGCCACAGCTTGATCGGCTTGACAGGGGAGGTAGTCCATCGGCTGGCCATCCTCAAAAAGGTTGTATGAGGTCTCGGCCACAGCTTAATCGTCTTGAAAGGGAAAGTGGTACCGTCCTCTGATGGACTGGGATCCCTGGTTTGTCTCGCCGTTCAAATTGTTTCTAGATTGTGCTTCTAATCTCATCGAAGCGCTCAGAGACTCGATGGCAGCGGTGACTGCGGAATCTATGACTGAAGAGCCCGTGTCTGGGGTGTTGAGGTGATAATGTGGAGTCGTCAAAGCCCTGGTGCATGATTCATGAGATTGCAAAGACCGATTCAGTTGTGTTGCTGAGTTTTGCGACTGTGCAGCCCTTATATCTTGAATATGAATGGATTGGTTTTCACGTGCACATAAAGAAGGTTGATGGTACCAGTTCTGTGAGAGCTGTGTTGAATTTTCCTCAGCTTGTGGGCCTTGGATACCAGGACCTCGATCTCCTAGCTTAATACTGTCTTCAAGAAGGGTTGATCTTAATGGAGAATCTGCCTGGATGTTGACGGCTGTGGATCCGGAAGCCGAAGAACACGGGCCTGATGTCGGCGAATAAGCGGAGTTTGGTGTATTCGGTTCATCATTCTCTGGTTCTCTCGCTGTGTGTATTTGGAAAGCCTGTGTACGTTGTATCGCCCAATCTGCAGGGAGCCTTTTGTCAGCATTCAAAAGCAAGAAGAGGAAGTACACTTACTTGAATCTAATTTAGATGCAAGGTCTTGTATCGAACTTTCAACTTTCTCCCACAAGTAGTCAAAGATCTTGCTGGCCAGGGCATCAATCTTCTGCTTTCCTTCAACGCGTAGTATACCACGATCCCGGAGGTGGTTAATCACTGTAGATCGAGGTTTTTCGTCTAACGGTATGACTCGGATACTATGAAATGTTAGAGTCTGCTAGTATACCCAGGTAGGGGACCCACAATTCATCATCAGCATCTTCAGGCAAGCAAAACAAAACACCGAGGTGTGTGTTTTCCAGAGATTCGGTTTCGTCGATATCTTTGCATAAAGTATCAATTCTTTTCCCTTCGGTGACCCATTTGGAGAATTTTTCCTTGACCGTTTTTGGGTCACTGCTAACCATCCAGTCTTGGAAATTATTTCAGCCAATATCTCTAGCTCATTGGCACGAACATAATTAAGACACAGCCTGTCCTTAAGCCGGTAGTATACCACTTTGATCAAGCGAGAGCGTACTATATCTTTCCCCGTTCTCTGCTCCAGGTCCTTGAGGTGGATGTAGAGTTGGGCCACTGGTGATCCGCTTAAATCGAGGTCATTTCTGTCTTCTGTGAAGAATGATAACGGGTTATCCTGCCATCGATCCACACTAGTCAGGAAATCGAGAGGAGTGTTTATTTTCAAAGTATTGATGAGCTCGTTGGATTTTCTGGAGGAGATCTCGAAGCTTTTCAGAGAATGACGACCGATTTTTCTTCTGGATTTCGCTGGAATAGAAGCCCAAAATCGTCGGACCGAGTCCATAACCTATCTGTGTTAATATGTTGCCTTGCTATGTCCTTGTAGAAGACACACCTCGGGGTCCAAGAGGATGTCACTAATGTCATCCTTCCCATTAGACTCACAGTCTCGACAAGCCTTTTCGAGTTTCTGGCTAAACAACTTGCTCTGTGAAAGACCCATGATAGGGTAAGTTGGGGAAATGTACAAAAATGCTTCCCTGGTTTGTGATTAAAAGAAATTAGGGGGCGTTGCGTCAAATCTTCCCTTCTGGAGGTCACATGCTGTCGCACCCTTGTCTCTTGAGCAAATTGGTCGATCAACAAATACGAATACAAATAACAAATTGAAGTGGCTGTAAGCACCGTTGTGCATGCCATAGCCAATCGCTTTTTAGGCCAGGGTAGCGGCATGAGCCTAATGCCATCTAGGCAAAGGTCAACCATATAGGTGATAAAGGTGATTTCAAATTAGACCAATGCGGTTCCAATCTACCATAAACATGCTTAGTGGAAAGGTACTTTTGAGAGTTGGTACGTGCCCTGACAAGGCCATGATTGGATTTTCAGAGAGGCACGGGTCGCGCTGACCAACAGCAATCGCTGTGACTTATCTCAAATGGTGGCCGTGTGTACGACCTAGGTATCGACAGACCGGGTGCTTCAGGTGGTTTCGGTAGGTATCGAGAGCTGCCTTATGATAGTGGCCTTAAATGATCCATCTGCTAATGCCTGATGGTTATGGCTGTAATATCCACACCAAATTTCCAAGGACCCGGCAGAACGGGGAACAACAACACGAGGTGATAATGTAGCGACAACGCAGATCTTTGTCAAGATACATCTCATTTGGTGGCTATGTGCAGATGCCAAGGAACCGAGTGTTTTAGGCCCGACTTACAGTCCAATCATCTCACACTTCGAGTCAGCTGAGGGGATCAGCATTGCGCGACCCAGAGTGATTATTATTCTCACCGTCGCGCGACGCTACAACTTGCCCCGCTTCTTTCACCCAGGCGACACCCCACCGAACTATCGATCGAGTATGAGCCGCACGCTGGCAGGCTATCGCGGGAGTGACTACTAGTTTGCTCGGCTCGCCTCCTAACTCCTTGCCCCCATATTTGGAACCCCCTTTAGGGCTGCAGGGCAGATAATATGATTGGCCAGAGAGTAGCCAATCCTCCAGTCCTTAGGTCACGTGCAGCCCTGATACCTGCACTGGCAGTCCACGACGGACGAGATCGGATACGGCCAGTTCGGAACGGGTCGGCCCGGCTAAACGGTGGTAGATTATACACCGCCTACTGCATATTCGCCTATTTACACCATTTACCACCATTATTGACCCCGCTCTCTGTTCTCCAGCACCTAGTGAGGCTCTATGATGTTGCCGAAAAGCTTCTTTGGATCTTTATTCCTTGCGGTAATAACTGTTGCAACCTTCGCAATGTCGACAACCCGTTATACAGTACCAATTCACGAATCGATACAAATTTTGGAGACTCGTGAACAACTGAATAATATGGCGATGCAATACCCACTCGGAACTATGGACGACAGGAATGGAGGCTATTATCTCCTAGACCATGATGATACCGTTCTAGCTATCGCATCTGATCCCCTATGCGAAGAACTGGATGCTGCAATCGAGGAAGCAGAAAGGTACCGCAGCGCCCATCCCGAAATCGACGATGAAAGCGAATTCGCTGCACCTACCTCAAAGTGACAGTGACAGGCACAATCTAACCTGTCCAAGCGTTCTTGTACCCATCCACATTGTCACACACATGCCCTATGTCGGAGCCACAGCGATTGCCACGTATGCGCTAGAAGCCATCATTGGTGTTTCTGAGCAGGCCGGAGACTAGGATGATACGGAAACTCTACATGTTAACCTCCATTCCTTTAGAACTGCTCAAAATCAGAGCAAAATTGAAAGTCGGCGAGCTCCAAAATCCTTTAAGTTATTCGGGTCCCTTCTTCTATTTTATCATTCGTGTATATGATGAACCATAATTGTGGATGACACCTATGTATATCAACTGCAGCTTCACATATTAGTTATTCTTCTGTTTATATAGCTAGTAGAATCGCTCTCTATATCCTCCACAGAATGGTACTTAATGATGAATCTCTATACAGAAAGAGACGGTGGCATTTACTATCGAAAGGAGCGGACCCAGAGAAAGACAGAAGGAAATAGGGATTAAGTGTTACTATTCGCCACGTTCCTCGTTGTTCTTCTCGTCAAAGCAAATACACAGAGCCGCGATTAATGCTGCATCCACACCAGGTGCCACAACAACGGCGTAGGTCTGCTGGCCAAACACAAGGTCACGGCCGCTAAGCAATTTCCGGTCAATGCGAGCCACCGTTTTGCCGCTTTTATGGTCGACAATATCGGCAGTACGATCGAACCAGCCTCCTTTTATATTGAAAATCACCGCCTTGCCATTACTATCAGTGAAAGTGGCGGTGGCTTTGGAGCCGAGCACTAGTGCAGTTAGTAATGTGTATAACATGAGTCTACTTTGCTGAATATCTTGGATCATAAAGACGGAACTTACATGTGAGATTACTCTTCACCTCACAGATCTTCTCGCGATGGGTGTCTTCGATTGCATAGGTCGCATGGACGTGTAGAAGCTCCCTGACAATATCAAACAGGTGCTTGCCGTGGGCGTCCTCGACCTTCTTGCGGCCAGAAAGCGATACCCAGGCTCCGTGCACTTTCAGAATTGGTTGACCATTGGCCAATTTGACGTCGAAGCTATCCCCAGACGCGGAGAGCACCTTTTCTCTCAGGACTAGTGTCTGCGGCTCCTTTGCGACAAATTGTTCAAAAAGGGCGATTGGCTCGGCGAATGGCTCGAGATTGTGGTGGCCCAGGATGCCCATGACGACAGGTGGATTCAATTAAAGCTTTCGAAGGATAAAGATTAAATAATCAAGCAGGGCAATCGACCACAGGAGCGCGGGGTTAGTCTGAAGCCGATCATCGGTTGGCGATATCATCACGTGATAGCTTGAAGAAGGTTTATTCTCCTTGGCTGGAGCCGTTGTGGTTGTTTTTTCCGATCGCTTCGCTATTAACGATATAGCCAATGTAAACGAGTGATTTGTGAGGCGAATTCGATTTCCTGAGTCTTGTTCCTTCAGGATTTTTTATTAGCATTGTAGTGTACGTACTCCGCCCACTAGCATACGCGGTCGTTTTTAGAGCTCTTCCACCCGACCAGCTCCTTCTCTTCAATTTATTTCTCTTCAAAAGGCTCATTATCGAATTCTGCGCTCCATCTTTTGTCAAGTGAACTATCTCTTCAGCGCCAAGATTGTTGATCGCGATCTCCAACGATCATCACTGGCCCATTCGCCCTATACCCCACTTCATTGGTAGAATTTAATCGAACCTGGAAACCCGGCGAACCCCATGCTAATATTAAAATAGCTCCTTACCTTGAATTGAATTGATCGTTGGCCAGCAACATGCTGGATATTGTGTGGAAGGATATGGCGCCCACTGTGGCTGTCGTGGGAATCGGCCTTACAGGCTTGCGCCAGTATTCCAAGTTCACCAAGGCCCAACGAGTCGTCTTTCAGATTGGGCTTGTTTGCTCTATTCTGGGACTTTCTCTGTTTGTCGTGACTCAGTTGATGGGTCTCGTTTCTTGCAAGGATATTAAAGCTTATGTGTGATGGGGCATTTCGCGACATCGATTACAACACTGATACTGTAATGCGTCTTCGCGTGCGCGTGGATAGGCGTGACAAATCGCGCGTTTCTGTATCGACGGGCTTTAAGTCTTCGATTTTCTCGTCTATGCTCACCAAATTCTCCGCAACGTCATATGGTGCTTGATTTGAGCTAGATTATGGGAATAATATAAATGACGGAGCCGGCTAAAAGGCCCAATTGCTAGCAATTTCCGCTATCTACGCCGGTTTCGGTAACTCCAACGCCGATAATAATGAGACCGATCATTACCTACCCTGCCAGACAACGAGCTATCAGCTATCACCAATCATAGCTAACAACATCCATCCTTTTCAACCGCGGATATTCGACAGAAACACGAAACGCTCACTGGGATGTCTGCAGATGCCAAGGCAATGTCGCGTGCAGGTTCAATAAAAGCCGCTTCGGTAGTCTTTCCAAGGCGAGTGAGACATTCATATAAGCCATGCAACCCCCACACATTGTTGAGCTTTGCCCTGCGCCGAGGATAGTCCAGGGCAAATCCAAGATCCTGTTTGAACAGCACTTCTGCCTCCTCGGCGCGATTCTGCTCCAGGAGCAGGCCGCCGAGGGCATGGCGGACTGGCTGCATCCAGGGGGGCGGGTCAGAGTACGCAAGTCCATCCTCGCGCACAATCGCTTCCCTGAGGAAGGAAAAACCGTTCTCGAGGTTTCCTTTCCGGTACTCCAATTCTCCAGCAAGCATGGCCGAGGCTACCCCGAGGACGTTTTCCTCCTTGCAGGGAATGCTGTTGAGTCGGGTACTAGGGACTGCCTTGCGTGCCGCTTCAAATTCTATCTGGGCAATTTCGGCTTCTGCAATCCGTCCAAGTGCGCTAAACGCAAGACCACGGGTGTAATAAATGATAGCTGTGGTCACGCAATATGTATCGCGATCAGTGGGAAGCTCAAGGCTGAGAACCTCCTCCCAGCGACCAAAACGCACCAGAACATGTGCCTTGCTCCCCACAAAGCTCTCGATAAAGTCTGCCATTGGGGGACTTTTTATCGCCAGTACTTGAGGATATATGACATTTTCGAGCTTTTCCGCAGCAGAAATTGCGTCCGAGAAGCGACCGGACATCATAGCGGAATACAATTTCGCACAGATATAATGTACCCGGTAGGCTGTGTACATAATTGTGCCCGTCTCTCGGGCAAAATAGATGTCGTCCGCAAGCATCGCTTGATGATTGGAGTCGATACCACGGCGGTAGTCGCCCACTGCCGCATCGATGTGCGTCGGCATATGCAACATGTGCGAAGCATGCGGAACCATTCCACGCAGTCGATCCGCAGCCGGTAGAGCCAATTCCGGGAATGGGGACATCTCCAACATGTGTATGTACAGATGACAGAGTGCCGGATGATCGCGACCGGTAGGCTGCTTCAGCCCCAGCTCAATGACCTCGCGAGCCTCAACCGTATGATTTCCTGTAGGTTTGCCGCTATCCAAGTCCCACAGCCCGCGTGGGGTGATACACATCAGTGCATCGGCGAACAGAGCAGCGACGTCCATATCGTTGCTGAATTTCTGATACACAGGGCGCATGGCATTTGCGTATGCATGGTCAAAAGGACTTAGGTCGTCGGGGATGTCATGGACGGATGGAAAGCGGGCACCGATGGCTTCGATCAATGCCTGTTCGACTGGGGTGGCATGGCTTACCAGCTTGCGTGCTCGTTCTAGGACATTATTGACCTTCTCGATAGAAGCCCGGCGACCTTTTGGATCGAAGAACTTCCAAGCCTTGTTGTAATTCGGCCCGGCAGCGTAGGCGACTCCCCATAACGCTATCACGCAGTTGGGGTCACTGTCCGCTGCTCGTTGGAAGCATCGCTCTGCCTCGTCATGGTTGAAAGAAAATGCCCATATCAGTCCGCGATCGAACCACAGTTGGGTTTCTGCCGAAGAGGTGGTCACTGGTCGATGATGCGAGCCAAGATCGTAATAGGTTTCTTGGCCAACCGAGGCAGGAGATTTGGACTGGTCCCTAATTGAGGTATTATATTAGAATTCGAATTATCAGAACCCGAGACACTCACTGCATGCTGGGTACTATGGTCTTGCGAGGAGATCACACCGTGGTTCCTCTACCGTTTAGGTTTCCTTCAATCCAACTTTCTGTTCCTGTGAGAACAGAAATCGAAGGTGAGCTAATCAAGCTTAGCCTAGACAGGAGCTGATGAAAGAATGAAGCATCAAGATGATAAGTGGCAAAAGAGAGAGATAAGGAAGAAGATCGGGGTTTACCCCGCCTTTTAAAGCCACCCGTGGACCTTTCTGGCGCTAAGCCTCTGAGTTTATCTACGACATGACCCACATTAGATCTATATATCAAGGAGCATAGTACATTTGCACGATGCGTCTCGACAGCAAGTGGGCCGCTCTTCTCCCGGTCATTCAGGATATCTGCAGCATCTCGGGTATCCCAGGGGTGTCACTGGGCATTGTGGAGAATAACAAAACCGTCTACACCGCTTCGCTGGGCTACGCCGACATCGAGAACGAAACCCCTTGCGACAGCGACACAACTTTCGTGCTAGGGTCCCTCACCAAAAGCCTGACGGCTGCTCTAGTAGCCTCTCTTCATGACGACGGTATCATTCCCTCGTGGGATGCTCCATTGAAGACGTTGCTACCAGAATTTCATCGCGAAGATATCTACGGCGAAATTACCCTCACCGATCTGCTTACACACCGTACTGGCCTAGCATCTCTTGACTCTCTCTGGCTCGCCTCTAACAATGTTCCTTACCTGCCTCGATCGGAGGCCGTTCGAATCCTCAATTACGCCCCGGGTATCCAGCCATTTCGAACCCAGTTCATTTACAACAACTTTGGCTACGAGGTCCTCGGCCAGGTGATTGAAAAGGCGGCTGGTGAAACATTTGCAGAGGTTCTGCAGCGTCGCCTTCTGGACCCGCTCGGTATGTACCGAACATACTACACAGGGGAGAGCCGTGAAAACGAAGCGAAGCCCTATGCTGCGCTGGAGGACGGGTCTATTGTCCCTATTGCACCGCCGTTGCATGGTGAGAATGTGTTGATGGGGCCAGCTGGGGGTGTTCGAAGCTCTGTCAATGATTTGTTGACCCTCTATAAAGCCTTCATGGGTGCTGCTCTTCATGAGATTATCCATCCAGACACGGGCTCGCCTGATCAGCCCAAGTCCACCATTCGAGGTATCAATCAGCTATGGAAAGGCCATCAATCTCTGCCCTTTCATTCCATCAGGGAGCATTCGTATGGATTTGGCTGGGCCCGGGCCCAGTTGCCTGCCGTCATATCCCAGGGAAGCGATACAAGCACACCCAATCCTATGCTTGGAACAGGTGCACCATCGCAGCTGGCCTTGTATCACGGGGGCGTTATCCCTGGGTTCAATACTTACAATGTCTTGCTTCCTGAAACTGGCAGTGCAGTTGTTGTGCTCACCAATTCTCAGTCTCTAAACGGTGGAGTGCGGTGGATTGGCGAGCTCCTTGTCGAAGCCCTTCTGAACAACTCCCACAATGCGCCTGACTATTCCATTCTGGCAAAAGAATCGGCGGAGATCGCGTTACAACAAGTAAGGGATATCAATAAGAGTCTGGCTGCGGGCCGAACTACTGAGATTCCTTCTAGGCCACTAGAAGCTTACGTCGGACAATACTTCAATGGAGCTGGGAATTTCTTTATTGAAATAGGGTACAGCAGAGACAAGGCCAGTCTTCAGCTTGCGTATATGGGCCGAAAGGCCGATACATTCGCACTTCATCCATACCAAGAAGACAGTTTCTATTGGACCTTGACGCATGATGAGTCTGCGAAGCTCGCCCGAGAGCCTATTTTCCCGATGGAGTATCACGTTCTCAAGTTCGGATCTGAGGTGAATGGAACGAGCGTCTCTTGCCTTTGGTGGCAGCATCAGTCGGGCCTGCCAGAACCTGGGGAGCTATTCAAGAAGAGGGAAAAAGAGGTTGAACGCATCCGGGTAGAATTATGAAAAGTCCATTATGTGTTGATTATGGTGGCCTGGTTCAAATAAGACCAACAATTCCCTGGTCGAAGATACGCGCTGTGGTATTTCTAGGGACTCCATTCGAAGTCTATAATTCAGGCATATCCGGGCATCAACCCTACAAAATCAGGCATTTGACCTTTAGCCGCTCTGCCCGCCCAAATTGAATGTGATGGATTATTTTTCTATTTTAACCCATGCATATTTGCATTTTACATGGCTATCTACTTCAGAAATGTAGCTGACGTTCCCTAAGTTTGGAAAAAGCCAAGGTTCCTGTTTAGGGAGGGAGATAGTAAGTAACATCACGACATATCCTCGTATAGCTGCTGATACAGTGTGCATATACCAATAAACATGAAGCAGATATAGAAAATATGGGCCCGTGTGGAAAACGAGGCCTAGATCTATGCAATAAGAACCGAATTTGCACTATCAACATCAAGGATTCTCCCGTAGCCTATAATAGCCTACAATATATAGGTGAATCAGACCCCCAACTAGGCACCGGCCGGGTCAACCTATCAAAACTGTGGTATAACGCCCAACATTGCACCATCAGCCGGGATAATATCGCATAGGTGCGAATTGATGAGAGGAGTTATCTAAACCCCGCGCCACGCCTGATTGTACGAATATCCAGTAATCTAGACATGGAGAGCGGACTTGGCGAAGTTAACCTTGGAAGACACTGCTACTTCGCCCCTTATCTTGTACAAGCGGTGGCGTTTATCTGTTATCTTCTTAACTGCAGGCATTACGGCAGAGTCCGGTTCAATGCAAATATTTGATTTTAGATACATTTTCTATGGAGCACACATACAAGGAAAGGTTCCTCAAAATCAGTCTCTTTGAAACCTATATCTCAACCAAATCATACAATTGTAGGAAAGTGATATCTCAGCCGTGTGCCCCCTTCCAATAAGAAGCAAATTCCTCCATCTGACGGTTTCAGACCTTTCCCTCAATTCAGAGACTTCAGCTCGAGCCGAGCTAATGATTAGTGGCTCGTTTCATCTGCTTCTGAGGCACCGGGACGAGTGCCTATTTGGATAAAAAGCTGTGAAAGATGCGTTTCAACAAACTTTGACCAGCTACATCTGAATCTTGCCTCAAAGGCGCATCTTGAAAAGGCCAAAGTTTTTCCCACAGCGCCATTTCCTGGTCGTTTGCTGATTCTCGAAGCAAAAAGTTTTGCTTCGATGTTATGAGTCTCCTGGATATTTCGTCGTATTGGTCAGGAGGCACAGCCCCATTCCAACCGGAATAGACGCCTAGCTCAGCGATCACTCGTGCTTTTCTCTCAACGTCCTTTTGCCACTTTTCGTAATCCATCTGCTGCTTTGATATCTCTTCCTTTGAGTAATGCAAAGGACAGGGCACACTCGGATCACCGGCTGCATTCACCCCAACAACCTGTTTCCAGGTATCCTCTTGGCTAATATCGGCAAGCAAACTTTGTACGTATGGTTCTCCGTCACCGTAGGTAGATGAAATCATTCCCAGAATTTGACCTGGTAACGTATCCCTGTAACGAAATGCCTGTAACAGCTCGGGAACAGCTTTCTTAACCTGAATTTCGTAGGTAAGCCAAAATAACTGAGCAAGATACGTAGCTTTGGCGGATTTTTTGGCATCGGGATCGAGTGAATCAAAGTCTTTCGGAAGCTCGGGTTTAACAAATCCATCGAGCCTCGGTCCATCGTACTCTATTAGGGATGGATGATGAGCAATCAGGAACATCGGATAGATAGGCACGCATTGCCAATCTATGATATTTGTAATTTGAGACGGATTGTTGATATCGACAAATATATTCTCTGTATGAAGGTCGTTATGCCATATCATACCGGTAGAGATATTCTTGTCTTGGGGTACGATATAACGGTGTATCTTGAGGAAGTCTTGCAAGACCGACAGTTTTGCTTTGTGTGTTGGGTAGTAACAACCGGACCCACCGAAAATACCTTGCTGGCAGTCCCGGGGGAAGGTCGAAAACTTCTTTAGGCATGCCATTTCTCGTTGAACAAGCGCTTCCAACACATCTTCTGCCGAGGACCCTAGAACAAAATAAATGATTAGAAGAAAGATTGCGCTAGGTAGACACAACACATACAAGGCCCCCGATAAACGTCCACTTCCCCTCTCCCATAATCGAACCATGCTCGATTGACCGTGGGACCTACGGCAAAATCATCGTCAATGACTTTGCTCTCAGATATCTCAATATCATTCCTTCGGTATAGAGCGCCGTAGTACGGAAAGCGGAATTGAGCGAGGTTGCATGTGATATGAGCAATCTGTTTCACAATGGCCAGTTTGTCGTTGGGCTTGAGATCATCCCAAACACGACCTAGTTCAATACCGGCGGCTTTCTCCATCACGATGTATTCTGCCCCAAGCTTACTTTCGCCAGCCCGGGAGCAATATGCAAGGATCTTTGGCACTGGGACATGAAGCTTCTCTTGAAGCTTCAAATACAAGTCAGCGTGTCCTGTTGCAGAATCGCCCCAAGTAGATAAGAAAACCTTACAAATTGCATGGTTGCTACTTCAGAGGCTGTGGTGTAGTGGGCTGGTCCCGCATTAGGGTTTGGTATTTTGACAACCAGCTGCTTCCCATCTTGCATCGTCGCGAGGAAGACTTTGTTAAAGTTCCCCTCTGGTAGCCTTGACAAATTCAGACAGACTGCATCGCGACCTGCAGCTTCTTCGGCGATGTGGATAAGTGCATCTACGTCGAATTGGATGTATCTGCGTCGTAATTGCTCTGATTCATTCCATAACCATCTTTGGGCGGAATACTGGTAGAGAGACTCCGGGTCGGAACCTATCACTTGGTGAGTCAGAGATAATGCAATAAACAAAGCAACCTACCAGATTTGGCTCTTCCTCTGCTGGGCGACATGGTGAATTTTCGAGTGATGTGATGGACGGGTAATTTCAGGGGTTTGAATCTAATCCGAGAGTTCTTACAAGCTTGAAAAATCATTTTGGGACGACGCAGCATGGCGATAATATGTGAATGAAGTTGTGTTGGTTTGCCAGGGGGATTCTGATCGCACGTGACGGAGAGAAAAAGGAAACAATTGAGGCTGATAGATCGTAGAGTGGCTGGTATTTGCGGCAGCCCGCAGATGGCCATGGTCTAATCACATAAGTCGTCTTAATGGAGTGATATTGAGAATACCGAGGTATCTCTGAAGAAAGGCCGATTCCGACCCCATTGCTCGAGACAGCCAAGTACAATCGAATATAGCGTGGTAATTCCGAAATGGCCAAAGAATACAAGATCAACGACACCAAGTATTCAACTTCATTATCTATATCCTTCTCGGGACCACACCTAACAATAATCCTGTACAATCCAAATGCCAGCTATAAACTCAACCACTTTAGACGTACTCCCAAGCAACAGGGGTGCTAGTGTTGACAGAAACAGCCAGAGCATCGAAGCCGAGACAGTCACCAACCTTGCCAGTGGGGACAGTAGCGTTCTGCAGAGCAGCAAGGACCTGCCACTTAGGGGCAGCAGCGCCCCGGCGGGAACGGCGGGAGCTGGTGGTACTGTTGGTGGTACCGTTGGCAGTAGGGCAAGCCATGAAGCCAGATGCACCCAGGCCGTTGAAGCTCCAGTGGCCGAAAGAGGCGCCGGGAGTGTAGACAAAGGGACCATCAGAAGAACCAGCGGGCTCGTAGGCAGAGTGGGGAGATGTGAAGCGCAGAGCACCCTTGTTATCAACGTAGATAGCCTGGCCACCGGGGACCTCAACGTCCTGAATATGAAGTTAGCAAATGGACCAGTGGAAATATACATGTATGAGTATTTCTAACCAAGTAGTGTCCGTTGGCAATCACGGTCTGGTTGGTGTTGGGAATTCCGGGGACGGGAGAATAGGTGTAGGCGTTGCCACCGAGCCAGAAGTAGCTGCCGGCGGCATTGAGGGGCAGCAGGTGGACGGGAGAAGCCGAGCGGGCAGAGATGACGCTGAAGGCAGCATCAGAGCTGTTGGCCTGCTTAGAGCCGGGGATGGCAGCCACCAGAGGGGCGAGGGCGAGAATGGGAGAGAACTTCATCTTGAGGGATAGGGGAAGTGATTGATACTGAGGATGAGAGAATTATCAATGGAGAGAGATATTCAGGGGAGCTATCAGGGTCATATATAAGGTACGCTTGGAAAGGAACGTGCTTAGGCAACTCCATAAGCGGACCCAGCTGAGAAATGTTGTGATCGACATTGAATCCGGTGGAGCCGAGTTGAAGAGAAAGAGGGAAATGTCTTAGCTAGACGATACAACATAAACCTGTTCGATATATATAGAGATGGGAGTATGTATAGGGAGCCTGGAAGACCCAAGATGGGAGGAAACCCTAATTAGGTAGGAGTGACAACAAACAGGTCACATACAGCAGCAGAATATCTCTACCCACTGTCTACTTGGACTATTGAGAGGGGCTTCAACCGTGCGGTGGAGATCGACTAACTGGACCACACATGTATTCCTCTTCACGGTGTCAATTGACACAAAGGCAGACACCCCAATTGATCTAAAACACATGCTGTTGGACCCTGAAGATCCTAATAGAAGAGCCGGAAAAAGCTGTTTCAGAGAACTCATGAAAGTTCGACAGTGATTAAAGATCGACCGGAGGTCCGACAGACCTTGCCCCTAAGAAAAAAGAAGAGAACGGCAACCTCTTAGCTGCGCCATATGGGGATCCACGATATCCACATTGTCTCAGGGCACATCGTGTTTGCCATCATTATTGGCTGTGCCGCCAACTGGCATGATATCGGTGATCTATCGTGAGTGGCTGTATTGCTATTTTAATTTAGAAGTTCTCGAATGTCTCGAATGTGTCGACTGAATAACTATATCATACCTCGGTTGATAGCATTGCCACCGTCCGATGTATATATTGTCTCACATAAATGGATTGATGATGTGGAATAATCAGGATATAACAGCCCTACCAGCGTAGCC